TGATTTTTCCCTAAAAATTCGGATTTTTTTCTACTAGAGGGGAAACTTGTGAATTTTCAGGTTTTTTCCCCCAAACTCCCAAATTTGAAGAGGATTTTGGGACCTTTGAGGCCTTTTTTTTTAGGCTTAAATTCTCTGCATTCCACAACAACAACACAGAAAATGAGGAAAAACCTCAAAAAAAAAGGAAATAAAAATCCTCCAAACACTTTCACTTCTCTTTTTTTGGGACATTTTTGCATATTTTGACGTTTTTCCTGTGTTTTTGGGGTACAAAAAGTCCTCAAAGAGCTTCGAGAGCGTCCTGAAAGCATCTGGAAGAGCTCCAAAATCAGCTGGAAATAGCCCCAAAAAAGGGGGTTTATCTGAAAGCAGGAGCTGAGGTGAGAGGGGACCCTGAAATCTGGGAATTTGGAGCCCTATAATGTGGAGTTAGGGAGTTTAAGAGTCTCAAAATGTGGATTTTGGAGTTTGGGAGCCTCAAAATGTGGAATCTAGGCACAAGGAAACACCAAGTTGTGGTCTTGGGAATTTGAGAGCCTCAAATTGTGGAGTTTAGGCTGGAGGGAATTCCAAAATATGGCTCTAGGGAGCTACAAAATAAGTATTTGCGCACAAGGGAAACCCAACATTTGGAGTTGGGAATTTGGGAGCCCCAAAATGTGGATTTGGGCTGCAGGAACCCCAAAATATGGCTCCAAGGAGGCCCAAAATGTGAATTTGGGAGCTTCAAAACATGAAATATTGGAATTTGGGAGCCCCAAAATGTGGATTTGAGCACAAGGGATCCCCAAAAATGCGGAGTTTAGAGTCCCAAAATGTGGATTTGGAAATTCTGGAGCCCCAAAAATGCGGATTTAGGCAGGAGCCGCAAATGTGGATTTGGGCTTGGGAAACCCCAAAATGTGGAGATTGGGAGCCCTAAAATGGGGATCTAGTAATCTGGGAGCCCAAAATGGGGAGTTTGGGAGCCCCTAAATGTGTCTCTGCCATAATTAATGAACTTATTAATTGCTTTTTAAACCAACCCCCGATTTTCCTGTCAGACTCTAGCGGCTCCGTTGGGATGGTGACTCCCAAGGTAGGAAAGAGCTTGGTTGGCTCCTTTTTTTTTGGTTGATTTGGGCCAATTTTAACCATTCCAGGGGGAAAAAAGGGAATTTTCCCTGTGCCCAGGAAGTGATTAATTAATAAATGAAATACCCTAATGAAATACATGGAGTAAAATCCTAATTAAAGGGATTGAGAAGTTCCTTGGGGCATTCCCAACCTCTCCCTTCTCCCAGGGCTGGTTCAGAGTGGAAGTTGTGACAATTCCAGAGGGATTCCATCCCAAAAACCCACGGGAAAAGGGATGCTGGGATGTGGAGAAGGTGGAGAAGGCTTTGGAGGGGGTTGATGCCTCTCTGGTGTCTCCCACAGCTCTTCCGTGTTGCTGTCCTGCTTCTCCTCAGCCTTGGAGACAATGGAACCTCAGGAATTCCAAGGGTGGGAGGTGAGAAATGAGTGGGTTTGGAGCTGAACCCAATCCCAACCTTAACCCTGACCCTAACCCTGATCCCATCCTTGACCTCAAACTTGATCCCTGACCTCAACCCTGATCCCAAACCCCAACCTTGACCCCAACTTTGAACCCTAACCCTGACCTCAAACCAAACCCAACCCTGACCCCCAAACCTGATCCCAACCTTGACCTCAACCCTGTCCCAAACCCAACCCCAAGCGTGTCCTAAACCCAACCCCAACCCAACCCAACCCATTCCAGAACACCTCTCTAGCCACTCCATCGGCTCAGCCTCTCCTCACCTCCCACCACTCCCTTCCCTCAGCTGCCACCAGGACTCTTCCCTGGCAGAAACACTCTGAGGAATCTCTTTCCTACCTGAAGTGGGTCCCCTTTGACGGGCACCTGCCTTCCGACGCCGTGTCCAACTGGAACGGCCACACAAAGCGCATGGAGTATGTCTGTGCCCTCGCTGAACCACACTGTGACGCTGGCGCCTACGACCCCTCACAAGGGCCGTTCTGCTTCTACACCCACTCTGAGCGAGAGCTGAAAGCCTCCAACTTCAACCTGCTGATCAATGTTGGAGGCTTTGAGGCCTTGGCTTGGGTCAATGAGTCCTTTGGGTTCATCCCAGAGAACGCGGTGGAGGCCTGTCCCAGTGTTGACCTCTTCATTGGGCGCAGCAAGGATGGGCTGGGGAAGGTGTCCAAGGAGCTGCGCGCGCTCTTTGTGCTGGTGGATGGGCAGGAGGTGTGGTACAAGTGGTACCAAGTGCTGGTGGTCAAGAAGGGCTTGGGTGATGTCACCATCACCGATGTGCACTACAACCTCAGTGCGGCCATGGAGCAGCAGGAGAACATCATCCTGAGCAAGGCCACCATGACCAACCAGGGCTGTGCTGCGGCCACCAGAGAGGTCACCCTAGAGGAGGCCACCGAGACAGAGCACAACTGGGACATGGACCAACGTGTCTTCGCCACTGTGCGGGGAGTGCTCCAAGTGCCTCTCCTGGTCTACACGGGGACAGAGTGGGAGGTCACCAACGTCACCACCACCGTGCCCTGGGTGGGGGCAGCCACCACCAGCCGCTACGAGCTCCAAGCCCACACGCTGCGGGAGGAGGTGCCCGCGGCCACCACCTGCGACGTGGCCCTGGTGGGACGTCGGGTGGACATCCATGTGCCCTTCCAGGCATGGCTGACGCGGTCCCTGGGCGATGGCCATGTGCACCGCGTGGCCGTGACGGGGTGGGCACGCAGGCAGGGGGTCCTGGGGGTCCACGCCAGGCTTGAGAGCTGCCGCGACCTCCCCAAGGGCAACCCGTGCCTAGCCTAGGGTGGGTGAGCTTAGGGAGGCTCTTAGGGGAGCCTGGGAGGGTCT